TCGTTGCGGAGCTATTCAATACAATCGGGTGTATTATATTCTGGAATGGATAGAAATTTTAACTTTAACTTCAATATAACATGTCTGGTACCTTTTCTACTTCCCCCATAAATAGTACAATGACGTGGCTTTCGTTGGGGACCGACGATATGTTCCTATTGAACAGTTTCGTCATCCTGGGCTGGTTGGCGCTCATCATCTGGCCGAGAGATCGCTTCACTCACTACTTTGCCATTGCACCCGCGGTCGTATTCACGTTGAGCTGTCTGGGCACATTCTATCAATTGCTTTCCCAACGAGCGATGAATACACCAAGCTTGAATTTCTTCAACCTCGAGAATCTGTTGAGTCTATACCAAGACGCCTTCCTCGCTGTGGCTAGCATGGCTCATATTCGTGTGACCGAATTGTGGGTGGGTCTCTGGATGGTGATCGATTTCAACACACGATTCACGTGCGCCTATAATGTGAAGTCGGAGGTGGACGGTAGCTTTCCACGCTATAACCATTGGACTGAGGAGAACGTTCTGTTTACAGGAATTCTCATCCTTACTTATTTTCTCTCGCCCGTTGGCTTATTAATCTACTTTCTGGCTACTCGAACCTACTTCCGCCGATTCACTGCTCGTGAACCTATTAATTGGAGAAATCCTCAGAACTTGAAGATGAAGAAGATCGTTTCAGCCGTTGACTACGAGTTATTATCCACGAGAACTATTCGAATCGGTGATTCTCTCCCAGACAACTTACGTAAACTCTATCGCGTCGTTAGGGGATTGGTTGGTGCTGCAATAGGTCTCATTGTGTTGAGCTTTTATGCGGCGTATGTCGTGTACTGTCTCATCTTTCATCGCACGAAGGCGAACGCCGTAGAGAAACACCCTCGATGGCCTCCTGCATCTGTTCGAGCCCACACGATCGAATCCTTTTGGCGGTCGACCATCACACGTATAGAAGACCGTGATTGGTTGTGGAAGATCAAGTCATATTGGCTGCAAGTATGCACATTTATCCTGTTTGCTCCAAGCGGTGAGAATCCACTCAGTCTTTTCCGCGCGATCCAGCACGATTTCTCGGCAAGTCTAGGAAAATCAAGCACCGCGGGCTTCTTCCCATTTGGAGATGGTGTCGGTGTGGGCAGTTACAAGTACGTTAAAGCCTATCTGGAA